CTCGTTCCCGCCATATTTCCCCGCTTTGCTCGTTCCCGCCAAATTTTCCCGCTTTGCTCGTTCCCGCCATATTTTCCCGCTTTGCTCGTTCCCGCCATATTTCCCCGCTTAGCTTGTTCCTGCCAAAATTTCCCGCTTTGCTCGTTCCCGCTCTGTAATTCCCGCCATATTTTCCCGCTCTATAGTTCCCACCACTATTTCCCGCTAGTATTTCCCGCCATATGTTTCCGCTACCGAGTTCCCGCCTTCCTTTGTGTTCTCAACCTATAAAACCCCCTCGGCACTAATGTTGGTAAGCATTCTAGCGTAGTCTCGTAGTCTCGCCAAGATGTCCGGATATCCTTTTGATTGTAGTTTTCACAGTCGTATGTCTGGATGTCTGTTGTGTTTAGCCGCTGATTTCAGGGTTGACAACACATTAGTTCCTTGGGAAGAACTCATCAGTAGTGACACCCTGCTGAATGAGCTGGCTCACGCATTAAGTCGGTGCGGGTGGCCTTCCAGGACCTTTGAGGAGATACGGAAAGAACTTCTGAGGTTGCATGGAAGATACATAAAGCATGGAAGGTACCTACATTTCGGAGCAAAACATACTTATTTATGGAGTGCCGACAGCGAGGATGAAGACGATATCTTCATGTCGCCGCTTCTAGGTTCTGCATCGTCAAAGGGCAAGAGTTCTTCATCATCGAAGGGCAAGAGTTCTTCATCGTCGAAGGGCAAGAGTTCTGCATCGTCAAAGGGCAAGAGTTCCTCATCGTCGAAGGGCAAGAGTTCTTCATCGTCGAAGGGCAAGAGTTCTGCATCGATGGAGGATGACGATGATGACTTCATGTAGTTTTTATGTTGTATGTTGTAAGTTAAGTCGTATGTACCGTTTAATTTAGATGTACTTCTATGTAGTTGTTTATACTGTCTTGTTGTACGAGCATTATGTTCTATCTAAATATGATGTTGTAGTTCGGATAATGGAGTACTAAAATAGAGTAGGCATATGTCTCATACATAAGTACATAGTCATTTGTCTCATACATAGAATAGACATAAGTCTCATACATAAGTAGATGTTCATGTCTCTACTGATAGATAGAAGCGTCAGTGACGACATTTGGCCTGGCGGGGAGGCGGATCTACTGGCGGCGTCCATCCTAACCTGTTGGGTGGCCTAATGTTACGAGGAGGAATCTCAGACTCTCCTTGGTCATGATGTGTATCTTGTGTGGGGCCTGGTGAAGGAGTCGAAAACATGTTCATCCAGTGGGTGTGCTGCGACATTTGAGCATGTATGTTGTCCTCGGGATGTTGATCACTCCCCCACATATCATGTGATGCCGACATAGACACATGATATCCATAGGCTCCTGCACGACGGAACTTTAAGTCATGAAGAATGATGTCGCCTCAACTAATATTAAAAACAATAAATATGAAGACACACACCTGCTGGCTGTGACGGCTGCTCTGGCTCAAACTCAAAGCTCGACGAGGGACCGTGGTGCTGTGCCTGTGGAGAAAACACGAAGCTCGACGTGTAACCATAGTGCTGTGGGTGCTGCCACATTGAACTGCCAGGTTGTTCAGGAGGGGGTGGCCTGGTCATCGGCTGATGTGCTAGACGTGGACGTGGTCGATGTCGGTCTATGGAGGGACGCGACTGCTGTTGCTGGTGCTGAACAACGTCGCTTCTTTGGGTGCACGTGATAGCCTCATAGACAACCCGTATTTTGTTCTGCATTCATTCCAAGAAGGGTTGTAGCACAGGACGGTGGTGAAGAAGAGGTCCAGACGACAATGATCGTCCAAAGGTGGTCACGTCGTCGTAGAGTTTGTGTGTCAAGGTAGCCTGCAAATTTTCATGACGATTATTAAGTATGCACGCCAAAGTATGTGACACCATTACTTAAAGAAAATATATCTTACCGCATACTGCCTAGAGCCTGAAGTATCATAGCTCGGGTACGTATCCGACGGAGTAGGATCAGGTATCTCCTCTGGGTGAGAGTGCTCAATGATGCGTAACCGTGTTCCGGTCATGTAGCGTCGCAAATAGAGATTGAATTCATTGAGTTCAAAATTGTGATTCTCGTGCCATAGATGTGTGTTTGTTGTCTCCCATCTATGACATATGGCTCTAGTCTAACTAGCCACTCAGCAATTGTCCTAGTCATGCCCTTCCTTGTCGTCCTAAAATTGTGGTGTGTGTTCAACAATTATGAAAGATAATTGTGGTGTCATGCCCTTCGAATTGAGCACTATGAAAGATAATGCAACATTGAAAAACTAATTAATACCTGTGGATGTGTGCTGGCACCGGGTTCTCTGTAGGAGGAGGTAGCTCCAACCGCAGAAGACCAAATTGCCTCATAACCCTCTGTTGTGCCATCTCCTCGACGAAGATATCGAAGATGATCTTCGATTTCGTCATCCAGTAATCTCGGTGTAGGGCTACTTCCGTGTAGGGCTACCAGATGACCCCATTGTACATATCGAACTACTCGTTCAGTGCCGTGTATGCCTTTCTGGTCTGATCACTAGCAAAGCGTCTCTGCAGAAAAAAATGTTAGTAGCCGCTAGCATTGAACTATCTCTGGTGCACACAAAAGTTGCATTAAACTATAACACGATACATACCTTGCGACGTGTCCAACACAGACCAAAAGTAGGCATGTTGATGCCATCAGCATCAAACATGGCGTCTATAGGCTGATTAACACGTACATCTGGTCGCTCTATAGAGAACCTCTCCCATGACCACAGTTGTAGGAATAGAGGGCATCCAGGAAGGGCTGGCTTTCTCGATGTAAGCTCGCAACCGTTGCACATACCTCGATATGTAGCCGCTAAGACCGAACCCCAACTCCTCTGTCTGATCTGATCCGCCGTCTGAGCGCTCGCTATCTCGAGTGCCATAGGGATGTAGAGCGCACTAATAGTGCTGACATGGTTCTCTGTGAACATCACCTTGCCGAAAAGCCACATTAAGTAGGCCTCCAGGCTCTGAGTGGTTTGTTCCACATTCAATGGCGCCCGAAACTTCTGGATCTGCATTAAGCAAAGAGAAAGTTTTAGTAAGCCGCAGGTATTTTCTGTAAAACCATATGCATGATAAATTGAAGTAAGAGGAAGGGGAAATAACCTAGAAATTGAGCAACCAATCATACTTAGGTCCATGATGCTCCCATACCGGATCTGGAGCATCCGAAAAAACACCATGAAAATGTTGTGTAAGGCCTTGCTCCCAACCAGCTGGAGCATCCAACGGTCCTATGGCATGACCTGCCAATGGTAGTCCGAGCAAAAGTGACACATCCTCTAGAGTAGGAGCCATCTCTCCCCATAGGAAGTGAAACGTGTGGGTCGCTGGCCTCCAACGGTCCACTAAGCAGCTCAACAAGGAGGAGTCGATGGCGAGGCGTTTCTCACCTGGGATAGACTCAACCAGACGCGCCAAAGGTAAAAGGCCGGCCCATTTCAACCTTCATCACAGAACACTTCAGTTAGTGTCTCCCATTAATATGCATGTCAGTGTGCAAATTAATAAAGCACGTACCTCTGAACCCATCATGGGTGTATCATCCAGTGCTCCTTAGGAGTGCGAGTGACCAGAGGCTCAAGCTTGCGCTCATACCATATTGCAGCACGATGACCCCTATCAATGTCCCCATTCAGCAACCACATTCCCGACATTCCTGCACATAAAAATTCAGCTTAATAAAAATTCAGA